TTTTTTTTTTTTTTTTTTTTTTAAGAAATCCTATTTCAACTTGAAATAGGATTTCTTCGATTATAAATATATTAGTATGACGCACTATTTTGGTGTATCACGACAATGAACTCCCATCTTTCTCCCATCTTTCTCACTAAAGCACAGCGACAACTGCTCCGCCGCCACGATGAACACCATCACAAACATATCCTTCACATCCGTCGTGACAGGAACGGAGAAAGAGATTCAAAAAGAGACAGGGGAGAGTCGATGGACCGGGAGGCCGAGCGCAGGAAACGGAAGGAGCGTGACGAAGAATTAAAACAACGAAAGCGAGCTCGATTGGAGAAAGAAAAGGAGGTCGAAACTACTAAAGAGTATTATCTGGGCCCGGAAAAGCCCAAGAAGCGAGAGATCATTAACAAATCCCGGTTCTCCTTCGACTGGGCACACAGCGAGGACACATCACGTGACATAAGCTCTCTCTACCAAAACCCTCATGAACCCGGTTTACTCTTCGGTCGCGGATTCCGTGCTGGAATAGACCGAAAGGAGCAGAAGAAGCTGGCAGCCAGGACTAAGAGGGATTTGCTGGAGGAGATACGTAAGAGGAACGGCATCGAAGGGACTGCAGTAGAAGCAGCTGCCTTGAAGAATAAGGAACGAGATGCTGACATGTACGACACTTTTGATATGAGGGTTGATCGACATTGGTCGGACAAGAAGCTGGAGGAAATGACTGAAAGAGATTGGAGGATATTCAGGGAGGATCATAATATATCTTATAAAGGGTCGAGGATACCTTGGCCCATGAGGAATTGGGCCGAGGGCAAGTTGACTACCGAGTTGCTCAAGGCCGTTGACAGAGCTGGCTACAAGAAGCCATCTCCTATTCAAATGGCTGCCATTCCCCTTGGACTTCAACAGCGTGATGTGATTGGCGTCGCGGAAACTGGTTCAGGTAAAACTGCTGCATTTGTTCTCCCTATGTTAGCTTATATCAGTAGGCTTCCTCCGTTGAGGGAAGAGAACGAGGCGGAGGGGCCATATGCTGTTGTAATGGCCCCCACGCGAGAGCTAGCTCAACAGATTGAGGATGAGACTGTTAAGTTTGCGCACTATTTGGGTATCCGAGTTGTTTCTATTGTTGGTGGACAGTCCATAGAGGAGCAAGGTTTTAGGATTAGGCAAGGTTGTGAAGTAGTAATTGCTACTCCCGGTAGACTTCTCGATTGCTTGGAGAGACGTTATTGTGTTCTGAATCAGTGTAATTATGTTGTTCTTGATGAGGCTGACCGAATGATGGACATGGGTTTTGAACCTCAGGTTATGGGTGTATTGGATGCTATGCCTTCGAGTAATATGAAACCAGAGAATGAGAATGAAGAGCTTGATGAGAAGAAGATTTATCGAACCACTTATATGTTCAGTGCTACCATGCCACCTGCTGTAGAGCGGCTGGCTAGAAAATACTTGAGAAATCCTGTTGTCGTGACTGTTGGCACTGCTGGAAAGGCTACTGACCTCATTACTCAGCACGTGTTCATGGTAAAGGAATCGGAGAAAATGTATATGCTGCAGAGGCTGCTGGATGAGCTTGGAGATAGGACTGCTATTGTGTTCATCAACACTAAGAAGCAGGCTGATTTTGTTGCCAAGAATCTGGACAAAACTGGCTATAGGGTAAGCACACTGCACGGTGGGAAGTCACAGGATCAGAGAGAAATCAGCCTTGAAGGATTTAGGACAAAGAGGTATAATGTGTTA